GGGATGTAATCAAGCGGTCTCCTTCTTTTATATATATATATATATATATATATATATATATATATATATATATATATATATATATATATATATATATATATATATATATATATATATATATATATATTAATGATTTAATACATGCATTGTAAATTAGGTCAAAAAAAATATATCCTATAAATACCATAATGCTCAAATAATACGGAGTAATTATAATCAAATTGTAAGCTCCCTTGACTATTTTGCTTTTAAAATTTTCCTCTTTAATGTTATCTAATACTCTGTATAATTAATTAAACTAATTTAGAACATTTTAGTTCTCATCCCAAAAAATTAATATATATTTTCATGGTTTAATGTGTTACTTAACAGTACAATAGGTGAGAATTGATCATATGAGGCGTGTAAAGTGGTTTGAGCTATGCAAATTTGAGTCTAAAAATAAAATGGATACGTTAAGGTATCAATAATATAGATATTAAAAAAAAAAAGATGATAACAACAGTTTATAAGGTTAATGATAATCAAATTGAACCTTGCCACTAAAGGTAAATGATCATAAGCTAGTGTAAAAGGTAAAAAATCATCTCGATAACAAAATAAATCATTAAGACCATGTCATTTAACTTTTTGACTTAAAACACTTGTAATAATCTTAATTTGATATCCAATGAGATGTAATATCCAACCAGCTGCTTTCAATTTAAAATATAGAAATAAAAATCAAGTTTTATATAATTTTCACACGATGAAAAGAAATCTGAGATATAATAACTATAAAAGTATCCTTCAAATTTTGGAAACAAATAAATAGAAATATTTCATCTTTCATTTGCAGCATTTATGTAAAAATGTCTTAACTCATTCAAGAGCTAAATTGTTGTTAAATAATAATGAATACACAATATTTTTAGTTTGCTAAATTATTTATATCAGTAACAATGCTATCTCTCTATGATCAATAATAATTTGACTAATATTATATCGTACATACATATATAATGGAGTATATAATATATACTCGTAAATTCGTAATAATAGACAATTATTATTGATCATAGAGAGATAGCATTTTTCAAGTGCTCCGATCAAAACTTGAATTCATGGATCCATCACTTCATATAATAAAGAAAATTTTGACTTTTGCTACCTATCAAACACATCAATTTTATTTTTGCTACCTATGAAAACTTTTATTTTATTTTACTACCTAACATATGCTCTTTTTTTTTTAACTTTTGCTACCAGTTAACGGAATCCGTTAGGATTCCGTTAAGTTTATTTTTAAAATAAATAATAAAATTAATATTAAAATTAAAAAAAAAACCCAAATGCCCAGCCCAGCCCTCCCGTCAGCCACTCAGCCACCCTCCCCCTGCCGGCGACCAGCACCCAATGCTGCGACCGGCGCCGGCAACCCTCTTCCACACACTTTCCCCACCAACGCAACCCAGCCCCCTCCCTTTTCACCTTCTTGTTGCCCCGACCCCAACCACCACACCGAAACCAGCACCACTACCCCCCCCCCCATACACACAACCACACTCACCACACGCACCACCTTCAACACCACGCGCACCACCACCAGCACCATCACACGCGCATAGCCACACCCACCACCAGCCCACCACTACCCAAATTTTTTTTTAAAAAATTATAATAAATTGATGGAAAAGGGTAAACATACCTTATGATCTTCAACTTTTGGTTTATATGGTTAAATTCGACCATGAAAACCCTAGATCCGGAGTTTTCATGGTCGAATTCGACCTAAAAAACCATTAATTGGTCGAATCCGATCTAAAACCGTGGGGGTGGGTAGCGCCGGACTTTGAAAACCGAGGAGGGGGAATGAGAAGGGAGGCCCGGAGGAGGGAGGCGGAGATTAGAGAGAAAGATGAGAGAGGCGGTGATGAGAGAGAAAGTGTTAAGATAGAATATATCTTATGTTAAGATAGAATATATCTTGTTATATGATAGGAAAGAATATATTGTGTAAATATTATCTTGAGGTGAATTGTTCCCCAAGGCATAACTTTGTATAAATATTTCATAACATACATGAATGAGAATCAGGAATTTGAGCTCAATTTAACATGGTATAATGAGCCAAAGTTGAACCTAAATTTTTTTCCGTGAGAATTTATTGAGTGTAAGATGGGTGAGAAAACTCCGATCGATTTAATCTATTACCTAGGGTCGAGTGATAGTCCCGGTAATGTGATCACGCCGATTCAATTTCGTGGTGAGAATTATGATGAATGGTCACAAGCTATTCGAAGGGCTTTGATGGCTAAGCGAAAAATCGATTTTGTAGATGGAACAATCCCAAAACCAGGAGAACCAGCTTCGAAGATAGATGATTGGATTGCTGTGCAATCTATGCTAGTGTCGTGGATAAATAATACCCTTGATCCAAAGGTGCGATTGACGCTTGGTGATTATGATGATGCGAGTATTTTGTGGACGAATTTGAAGAATCGTTTTTGCGTGGTGAGTGGTACCCGTGTGTGCCAATTGAAGATAACGTTGGGTGAATGCAAGCAAGGTTCTAATGAGGCTGTGGCTGATTATTTTGGTAGACTCTCGAAGGTGTGGAAGGATCTTTTCACATTCATACGTGTGCCCAAGTGTGCGTGTGGGAAGTGTACTTGCAACATTGTTGCTCAAGTGGAGGAAATCAGAGAGGAAGATTATCTTCATTATTTTTTGATTGGGTTGGATGATCATTATGCATCGATTCGTACTCATCTTCTTGCTCAAAACCCTTTACCATCGGTTGATATTGCTTATCAAAATATTGTGATGTCTGAGCGACTCCGTGATGGTGCCACGCTAAAGGACAATAAAGATACGGTGAGTGCCTTTCGATTGGATGCCCGATCAAAACAAAAATATGGTGATAAAAGTGACAAATTTTGTAACCATTGTGATCGAGAGGGTCATGATGAGGAAGGATGTTTCCAATTACATGGCTATCCCGAATGGTGGGGAGACAGAGGCCGTGGTGGACGAGGCCGCGGTCGTGGTGGGGGGTGTAGCAATGGAGGTCGTGGGTCACGTTCTAATAGCAGTGGCACGGCAGCAGCTACACCCCCTTCTTCTTCGCAGAATGCTCGCGCAAACAAGGTGGCTGGTGGCTCGAGTACTGCTCAGCAAACAAAGGTTTCTCCTGATGATGCCGCAAGCTTGGTTGGGGTGAATGCTTCCCAAATTCAGCAAATATTGGATATCTTGAATCCAAAAAATAGACAGTTGCATGGTAAGGAAAATACTATCCCTTGGATTGTAGATACGGGAGCATCCAATCATGTGACGTGTGATTTTCCAATACTCAAAGATGTGAAGCGAGTTCAAAATTGTCCCGTTGGTTTGCCCGATGGAAAATTGGCAAATGCGGATCAATTAGGAACGCTGATATTGCCCGGTGGCTTACGGCTTGATAATGTCCTTTATGTGCCTCAATTAACGTGCAATTTAATATCTGTGACTCAATTAAGTGATGAATCTAAATGTGTGATGCAATTTACTAACAAAATATGTGTTATACAAGACCATCAGACGAGAAGGGTGATTGGTGTGGCTGAACGTGAAGATGGACTGTACCTTTTCCGTGGTGTTCCTCAAGTGAAGGTTCTAGCAGTGGATGGAGAGTCTTCGTTCGATTTATGGCATCAACGGATGGGTCACCCTTCAGAGACGGTATTGAAGATGCTTCCAACTGTGAGTAGCTTTTCTAGGAATCATAATAATAAGGAAACTTTCATTTTTACCACCTTCAAATAACGACTTTGTCGAATTTACCACCTCCAAAAAAAACATTTACTTTACCACCTCATAAAAAAATTAAACATCAGTTTTACCACCTCATCTGAGCTCAGGTGACGGAAAACGCTTGTGGGGCTCAGCTAACTATCACTTCCCTCCAATTTAATTCTTTTAAAATCGATGTCCCTCTCTCTCCTCCTTTTCTCACCTTCCATAATCAATTTCTCACTAAATTTCTCACTTCCTCATCAATTTTCGTCTCTCTCTCCTTTGATTTTTCTTGATTCTCACTGTAACTGTTTCTCTCTCCTTTGATTTTTCTCTTTCTCTCTGTAAAAACTGAAACCCTAGATCAATTTGGGTGGTTGAAATCGAGCTGGAACCACAAAATTGCAACACATCAGCTCTCTTGTCATCTTTCACAGGGTGAGGGGACCAAAAGCTTGGTAATTTGCTGACAGAAATCGAGATTCCTGACTACAAGAGGTACTTTAAACCCTTTATTAGTACATTTCGTTGGATTTATGGTTGTCAATTGGGGTAAACTATGCTTTTTTGGGAATATATGAATTAAAGTATTATAAACCCTAATTATGCGAATCTTTGACTGAATTAGAGTGTGCATTTGTTAAATAATTAGTTAATTAGGTTTACTTGATTACTGTTAATTTAGTGCACAGTCAATGTGAATTGCTTTTACTTGCTGTAATTGGTGAATTGGTTATTGTTGTTTACTGTAATTACTGAAATTGGTTATTATTGTGTGTGCTTTTGTTGGTATTGTTACAGAATGGACACAGTGGACTTAAAAATTACAGTAGGGGGTGCCTTTATACCTTCTTTAGCTGGTAAAAATAGGAGGGTGTTAACTTGGGATGGTGGGTGGGTTTATTGGATGAGAAATGTGGAAAAAAATAAGATAGATGTACACTTTATGAGGCAAGCAACTATACATGGGTTTGTGTATGTGAATGTGAAGGTTCCTAGCGGGTTTAGTTGCTGGTATAAACAAAAGGGTGAGTCTTGGGTGAATGGTAAAAGGGAGCTTGTTGATGGTGAGGTGAATGGTTTCCTAGAGTCTGTGAACAAAGAGGGGGCATGTGAGATGTATGTTACCAGTCATGAGCCAATTGAAGGGACTAACAAAACACCCTTCAAATGTATAAATGGAAATGAACTAACCCATGCACAAAGGAAGGAACTGAAAAAGAGGTTTGGTGGGCCTAAAGTATATGAACCCAGCCCAAAACTTAGTAAGCCCACTGAAGAAGAGCCATTTAGGAGAAGCCCTAGGTTAAAGGGCATTGTTATACATGACAGAGAGGCTGAGAAGAGGCTTCCTAGGGCAGAGAAAGTGAATGTTAATACACATAAAGGGAAGGGTAAACTCACTGCTGCAGATAAGGGTAAGGCTAAGGTTGGGGATGAGACTGGAAATCATGCTAATTTAGTGAGAAAAATAAAAGAAAGAGTGAGGAGCTTAAGGGATGACAATGATGTGTTTACTGATGAGGACGGTGATACAGAGTCTTCTGATTCTGAGTTGAGTGATTTTGAGTTAGAAGTTGATGAGGAAGATGAGGACTTATACTCTGATGGTGATTAAGAGTGGTTGAAGAAAAATTTAGAGCATATCAACAGTGAGGTGAAAGGCAGTTTGAGGGGAGTTACTGAAGGAGGGGATCATAGGGATGATGAGGACACAGGGTTTGACATAGAAAGAAATCTACAGTCAATTGAAGTGAGGGTTGAAGAGGAGGCAACTTGTGATTCTGATGAGCTAAAGAGTGTGGAAGGTGATTCTGATGATGATCAGGGTAGTGTTACTTGGTTTAACCCTGAGACAGACTTTGATAGGGCTATCAAATTTGTAGTTGGTCAAAGGTTTAGTGATGTGCAAACAGTGAGAAAAGCTTTGAGACAGCATGCAATTGAAAATAGGTATGAGTATTACCTTCTTCACAATGATTCAAAGAGGCTGACAGCATATTACAAAAGGAAATGCAAGTGTGTGTATAACAAGAACAGTTGTAGGATAGTGAAGTGTACATGTACTAAGGATGTTAGGTGTAGGTTCAAGTTCTATGCAACAAGACTTGTGAAATCAGAGGCTTGGAAAATTAAGACTCTAAGGCTGAAGCATAGGTGTGTTAGGAGTAAAATGAACAACAAGGTGACAGCAGAGTTCCTTGCTGACAGGTACTTGGAGGAGTTCAGGGGCAACCCCAGATGGAAGATCAGACAGATTTAGGACAAGGCCTTGAATGACTTGGGGATCAAAATTACATACTCCAAGGCTTGGTTGGCTAGAATAAAGGCAAAGCTTATAATATATGGGTCTTCAGCAGAGCAGTACTCAAAGGTTTGGGACTATGGGAAGGCACTGCTAAAATGGAACCCAGGGAGTGAGTGTAATGTGGTGGTGGATAATATTGGTCAAATTGAAAGGCCAATTTTTATGAGGATGTTTGTGTGCTTAGCTGCACTTAGGGATGGATTCATTTCTAGTTGCAGACCAGTAATTGGGGTGGATGGGTGCCATCTAAAAGGGGCATACCCTAGGAAGATCTTGGCTGCAGTTGGAAAAGATGGCAATAATGCCATCTTCCCAATTGCTTGGGCAACTGCAGAGATAGAGAACAAGGACAGCTGGTGCTGGTTTCTAGAGAGTTTGCTCAAGGCACTTTATGTGTATGAGCAAGGAGATGGCTTGACTTTTATGTCTGACAGACAGAAAGTAAGTGGGTTGTGTTTGTGTTTACTTGACTTTGCTTTATTTTGTAAAAGTAGGACACTAACTTGTTGGTTTTGCCTTGTGTGTAGGGTTTCATAGAAGCATTTGCAGATGTGGCCCCCAAAGCTGAGCTCAGATTTTGTGTGAGGCATATTTGGTCAAATTTCAAACTGAAATTTCATGGTGCAACTTTCAAGGAATTGTTCTGGGCTGCTGCTAGGGCAAGCACTCTGGTAAACTTCTATTTAGCCTCTTTTATGTCAGTTTTATGGTGAACTAGAATGTATGCTAGGTGATTTTGTGTTTAGCTTGTATCAGTTTGGTTTTTGGCCTAATACTTGTGAATTTTGCCCATTTATCTACATTTAGTTTTGCACATAATTGCATGTGTTTCTATTTTGTGAAAACTGTATGCCATGTGTCTATGTTGTGTTGAATGGTTGTCATGTGTGTGGTTGTATCAGTTTGAGTTTGAGGTTGCTATGGAAAGTATCAATTTTTTGGATGAAGAAGCATACCAGTGGCTGTCAAACATTGACCCCCAGCACTGGTCAAGGCATGCTTTCTCTACAAACTGCAAGTCTAACATGTTGTTAAACAACATGTGTGAGACATTTAATGAAGTGATTAGAGATGTCAGAGACAAGCCTATTCTAACTCAAATGGAATGGCTTAGAAGATATATGATGAAGAGGAGTAATGACAAATGGGAGGCAGCAAAGTCTTGGGAAGGTTTACTAACCCCATTTGTCAACAAGGTCTTTGATGGGTTGGAGAAGTATGCCAGGACATGTGAGGTTACAACTTCAAGGGATGAAATTTATGAGGTGAAATACAAGGATGATCAGTGCATTGTGGTTCTACAAGAGAGAAAATGCACTTGTTTTAGATGGGAGTTGACAGGAATACCTTGTGTCCATGCATTTGCTTGCATAATGGACAAAAGGGATGATCCTGAGTTGTATGTGCACCCACATTACTATAGGGTGACATACTTGGCTGCATATGAGAACCCAATACAGCCAATGCCTGGTCCTAAGAATTGGGAAAAGGTCAAGCTCAGACAGCCTTTGCCACCTGTGCTGAAAGTGCAGACAGGAAGACCTAAGGCAAAAAAGAGAAAGCTTGAACCAGGGGAGGGCACTTCTGCAGCACCTGAGGGCAAGAAGCCAAAGGTGAAGAAACAATGCAAGAACTGTGGTGGGTTTGGCCACTTTGCCAAAACATGCAAGGCTGAAGCAGCACCAAAACAACCTAACCCACCTGCAACAAATCCAAAGGGTGGGAGGCCACAGATGCAGACTCCTTGGCTTAAGGAACAGAGGAAGAAAAGTGAAGAGAAAGCAGCAAGACAAGTATTTTGTGACTTGAGTGTATTTAGTTGCTTTGTTTCTGAGTCTTTTCATACTGTGATTGCAGGTTGCACTGAAGTTGCCACAATATCAGCCTCCAACAACAGCAGAGGCTGGGTCAAGTAATGCTGCACCTGCAACTGCTGTGTCAAGCCAGCCTGCAACAAGAACAGAGCCTTTGCCAACTCAGCCTGTTACCAGGAGCAAGAAGAGCCTAAGTCAGCCCACAAGAGTGCCAGCAACTACCCCTCCCAAAGTCAAAATACAAACCAGGTCCAAGCTTCATGTAATGAGAAGCAAGAAGGACAAGGATCTCAATCAACTGTGACCTAGATGTACTCATTAGTATTTTGTAATAGACAGCCTAGTTTCTTAACTACTCATGTGTATAGTAGGCAGTATATTTGGTAGTTGAACAATGATTTTGCACAAAGGTGCCTTAACTTTTGTCTCAGCCAATGTAAAACAATTAACAACATTGTGTTGCAAGTACTAATATAAAATGTGATATGTTTCTACCAAAAAGTTCCATTTCTCATTGATTTAGTCAAAAGTAGTACAAGAAATGTCATCCCAACATCCACACATAATAATTCAACAAAAGACAACATAATTTGGGGATTTTTTTGTTTCTAAGCATTCCAAAATGAACCTAAGATCTAAAATACATAGCCAGTACCAAACCAAAACAACAAAACACAACAATAGCATGTACTGTGAGCATTTTCTTTGTTGTTGCATTGCTGCCATGCACTTCCTTGCTCATCTTCTTCCTGTCTGAGCTAAGAGCTTTGCATTTCATCTTCAAGCTGTCAATCTCATTGAGCAAGCACCTCCTTTGTCCACTAACATCATCAACTTCCCTCTTCATGTCATTCAGTTCTCCCTTCATTAGTTTCTTGTCCAGCAGCAAGTTGTTAATCACCTCTGTTTACCAAGGTGTTCCATCTAGTTGATCTAGCCACTCAAAAGCTTTACACCCCCTTGACTCAGTCACAGGATCATAGAATATGCAGGTCCTAAACTTGCGTCCAGGGTTCTCCCTACTCCAAGCAGTCAGCCTAGACATTGGAACTCCACATTGGCATTTTTTCTCCTTTGAGGGTGACATGCTAACTGAAGACATTCCCTTCTGAAATTCAGTAAGAACAGGAATGAAATTAATTGTATTTGAACACAATCACCATAATATAACCCTAATTTCAGTAGCCAATTCACATAACAAAAACCCCCAATCTAATTTAATCTTACATGAACCCTAAGTATTTTAATTGAAATTGGGGTTTAATTGACCTCACAAAACGCCCAATTTCAATTACTCTTAGAAAATGCAACATAATCACGCAACGAATTGCCAAAAATTACATCAGAAAGCACGAAAATTGCTAGAGAATTAACGACAATTGCTTACCTTTTTGATGTTTGTTGTCGAGGAGTTCAATTGATTGTTTGATAATTTGAGGGTTTGGGATTGTAAGTTTGCCCAAAAATACTGATTTCTGAAGAAAATCGCAAAAATTATTCTCCAATCTTCAAGAATTTGGTGTACAAATGAAGAACTATGTTTAAATAAAAGGGAAATCGAGAGAATTTTGGGAAAAAATCAAAAACTAGCCGTTATGCTTGGCCCCACAAGCGTTTTCTGTAACCTGAGCTCAGATGAGGTGGTAAAACTGATGTTTAATTTTTTTATGAGGTGGTAAAGTAAATATTTTTTTTTGGAGGTGGTAAATTCGACAAAGTCGTAATTTGAAGGTGGTAAAAATGAAAATTTCCTAATAATAAAGCATGTGATGTTTGTCCTCGTGCTAAACAAACTAGATGTAATTTTCCAATTAGTGAGAATAAAGCAAGTCGTATTTTTGAACTTATTCATATAGACTTGTGGGGGTCGTACAAAACCCCTTCTTCTTGTGGTGCACACTATTTTTTAACGATAGTTGATGATTTTTCTAGAGGAGTTTGGATTTATTTATTGCAAAATAAAACCGATGTTGAAAAGATGTTTTTGAGTTTTATTGCTATGATTAAACGACAATTTAATCAAGAGGTTAAAATTGTTAGGAGCGATAATGGAACGGAGTTTAACTCCTTGCGTGATTATTTTTGTAAAAATGGCATAATATTTGAGACATCATGTGTGGGAACACCACAACAAAATGGGAGAGTAGAGAGAAAACATCAACATATATTAAATGTGGCGAGGGCATTGAGATTTCAAGGAAATTTGCCATTGAAATTTTGGGGGGAATGTGTTTTATCGGCTTGTCACTTGATCAATAGAACTCCGACACCTTTACTTGGCAATAAAACCCCGTTTGAAATACTGTTCAATAAACCACCGTCTTATGATTATCTCCGTGTTTTTGGGTGCTTGTGTTATGCCCATAATCAAAAGAGCAAGGGTGATAAATTTGCTAGTCGAAGTAGAAAGTGTGTATTTTTGGGGTACCCATTTGGGAAGAAAGGTTGGAGAGTGTTTGATTTAGAAACCGAGGAAATTTTTGTTTCTCGAGATGTGCGATTTTTTTAGTCTATTTTCCCATTTAATAATCTTGTGTGTGAGAATACATTGAGGGATGGTCATCCAACAATGCTGGACGGATATAACAGTGATGATGAGTGGTTGTATGGGAATCTTGGTGTTGGTCCTAGGGAGGAGCCACGGACAGAAGACTCCACAGCCAGGCCGAGGCCTAAAGGGGTAGACCGTAGCCCGCCTACGGAAGGGACTGCTGGCAGCCCGGCCGCTGCTGTGCAGCCCGATGAAGAGCCAGATGCCGCAGGCATGGACAGACAACAGCAACCAGGTGCAACACAGCAGCCTGGTGTGTGTGACGGGGCTGTGTGTGTGCGGCAGCAGCAGCAGTCTGATGGTGGAGGGGCTTCTATGCGTACGCATGATCGAGAGGTTGAGGAGTTGGGAAAAGGCAAGAGAACAAAAATACCATCGACTAAATTTCGTGATTTTGTGACTCATACAATACGGAAAAACAGTCCATCCAACAACGCTACCTACATCATCTTCCTCAGGTACTCCTTATCCCCTCACATATTTTGTTAATTGCTCACGTTTTTCTGAAAAACATAAAAGGTACATTGCAGCCATAACAGCAGGCCATGAGCCTTAAACATTTAAAGAAGCTATGAAGCATGCAGGGTGGAGAAATTCAATGGCCGCCGAGATTAGAGCTCTAGAAGAGCAAGGAACACGGGTTCTTGAAAAGCTTCCGCCTGGAAAGAAAGCTCTAGGGAGCAAGTGGGTGTACACAGAGAAGCGAGATGAACATGGTAATTTACAGCGATTAAAGGCGAGATTAGTAATCTTGGGCAATCACCAAGTTGAAGGCATAGATTACAATGAGACATTCGCTCCAGTGGCAAAGATGGCGACAGTTAGAACATTTCTAGCAGTTACAGCTGTGAAGAATTGGGAAGTACATCAAATGGATGTGCACAATGCCTTTTTACATGGAGACCTAGAGGAAGAAATATACATGAAAATTCCTCCTGGTTTCAATAAAAATAATTCTGATTATGTGTGCAGGATGAAGAAATCGTTGTATGGCCTGAAGCAGGCTCCTCGATGTTGGTTTACTAAATTGACTGCCGCTTTGAAGAAATATGGATTTAAACAATCCTATGGATATTATTCTTTGTTCACATTGAACAAAGATAAATTGCAGTTGAATGTGTTGATCTATGTTAATGATTTGATTGTTGCAGGGAATGATACAAATGCATTGTCAAAATTCAAGACATATTTGGGAAATTGTTTTAAGATGAAAGATTTGGGAGTGTTGAAATATTTCCTAGGTCTCGAGGTAGCTCGAAGCAAACAAGGGTTCTACATTTGTCAGCGGAAATATTCTCTTGATATTATTTCCGAGACTGGATTATTGGGTGCTAAACCTGCAGATTTCCCGATGGAGCAAAATCACAAGTTAGCTCTCGCAGAGGGGAGACTGTTGGAGGATGTCGAGAAATATAGGAGGCTTGTTGGCCGCCTGATTTATTTAACTGTGACCCGACCAGATCTTGTGTACTCTGTCCATATATTATCTCAGTTTATGCAGAGTCCGAGAGTAGAACATTGGGAAGCTGCACTTCGTGTAGTTCGATGTTTGAAGAAGAATCCGGGTCAAGGGATACTTCTTCGGTCTGATAGTGCATTGAGGCTCGAAGGATGGTGTGATTCTGATTGGGCAAGTTGCCCGTTGGCTAGAAGGTCATTGACAGGGTGGTTTGTGTTGCTTGGTTTTTCCCCGGTGTCTTGGAAAACTAAGAAGCAACCTACGGTGTCTAAATCATCTTCGGAGGCTGAGTATAGATCTATGGCGGCTGTGACTTGTGAATTAAAATGGTTGAAACAAATATTGCGAGATTTGGGTGTCCGACATTCGCAGGGTATGGATTTGTTTTGTGACAGTCAATCAGCTTTGTACATTGCTCAAAATCCGGTGTTTCATGAGAGAACGAAACATATTGAGGTTGATATGCATTTTTTGCGAGATGCAATTAAAGAAGGTTTGATATGCCCTTTATATGTTCCTACAAAGATGCAGTTGGCGGACATATTTACGAAGGCGTTGGGGAAGACACAATTTGAGTTTCTACTTGGCAAGTTGGGCATTAGAGATCTCCATGCTCCAACTTGAGGGGGGATGTTAAGATAGAATATATCTTATGTTAAGATAGAATATATCTTGTTATATGATAGGAAAAGAATATATTGTGTAAATATTATCTTGAGGTGAATTGTTCCCCAAAGGCATAACTTTGTATAAATACTTCATAAAATACATGAATGAGGATCAGGAATTTGAGCTCAATTTGACAGAAAGAGAAGGGAGGAGGGAGGAGGGAGGAGAGAGGAGAGAGGAGGAGGTGGTTATGAAAGAGAAGGAGGAGGGAGGAGATGAGAGAGAAAGAGAAGGCTGGGTGTTTTTTTTTTTTTTTTTGTTGGCTAACGGGGAGGCATTTAGGGTGGCTAAGGCGAGAGGGGTGGCCGGAAGGTGGTAATGAGGGTGGCAGGATCTCAATAACGGAATTATTAACGGATTCCGTGATCTGGTAGCAAAATTTAAAAAACGGGATTTGATAGGTAGTAAAATAAAATAAAACTTTTCTCAGGTAGCAAAAATGAATTTCATGTGTTTCAGATATAGCAAAAGTCAAAATTTCCTATAATAAACTATATATATTTAAATGTCACTTTTTATGCTTGATAACCTTAACAAAAGAATTACCCACCTACTAACAAGGTCAATTTGGATATATTTTAATTGATAACATTGGCCAATGAAATTGAACTTTCAAGAAATCTAA